AAGAGAACCCAGTCTATCCAAAGTGTCCATATCATAGCCCACAGGAAGCTGCTGGATGTCCACATGAAACATTAGTCAAATACACATCTGTTGATGGATGAATGAATAAAGCCAAGAGCCCATCCAAGTAAGTGGAAAAGAAATAGCATTTTAAAAAGGGAATACATTTTCTCATTACAAACTGTTCGCTCTACTCTAACTGCAACTTGTTTTTAAGAGCCTAGAGGGAAGTGAATCATACTCATTAGGAAAACCAGCCTCCTCTCAATCAATACAGTGAAGTAATCTCTACAGTAGAAATAATGGCATGTATTGAATGAATGATGCATTTGTATATAAGGTAAACTTTACTATATATCCAACAGAATGCAGCTACCTCCAGGGTGCCACCTGTATAACTGTGTGCAGTAGCAGGGTTCTGTGCTCATAAACAAGGTTTGGGTAGGAACAAGGGAGCCACAATGTTAAATCCTACAAAAAGGAAATTTTCATGGTTCAAATTTATTTTATGTTGACATAGCTGGTACCTATTAATCATAGAAAGTTGTAGGTTGGATGGGACCTTAAAGATCATCTAGTTCCAAAAGCTCGCTTGAAAGGCACCTACAAACATAATCTATTCCAATTGCCTGACCACTTTGATCACCTGTTGCATTGTGTGATCATCCTCTTATACGTTTCCTAATATCTAATCTAATCCTCCCTGATGCAGCTTTGAAGCATTCCCAAGCATCCTGTCACCGGATACCACACAGAAGAACTCAGAACCTCCATCCCCTCCTCAGGAAGGTGTAGAGAGCAATGAGTAGTTTACCATTTCAATGGAAGTTTCCCATCCTGATTATACATAAGCTGGACTTAGCTGAGGTGGTCAGATAAGGTCTGTGTCAGCATTACATTGGAACAATAGCGCCTTTATCTCTCCATGAGTTTCACAGATGCTGGACACATACCAGAAAATAAGCCTGTTCCCTGATTTCTGGGAGAGGAACTGACAATGATAAGACCATGACACCGTAGCTGCAGAAAGGAGGCTCAAAGTGCAAAAACTGCAAGTCAGGAGCAGGATCTTCAGACACTGGATTCAGTCAGACCCTGTTCTTGAAGCCCAGTTCTTGCCAGTTTCATTACAGCAAGCATCCGAACAGTCCCATCTTGGGAGGTACTCCAGGAAAGGAGTGGTCTTTGCCTTGTCCTCTCTCTGAGGCCAAATCTCGTCATAAGCCTGTGTGCAGTGACTGCTGCTATTAAGAACAAGGAAAACATAGTTTGAAAAAGGTCTACCAGTGAGCTCACAAATGAGAAGAAGACTACAAAAATGCTGCTTGGATACATCCTACAACACCACTTACATAGGTACCCCTGTGAGTAAGTAAACTCTGCCCCAAATGTTTTCCCCATGAGCACAGTGACTGGCTCATGAGATCAGGAGCTAGAGCATCTACAATCACTGTGTACCATGGCCACATAAAAAGCTAAATCCACTGGGTCTGTAATTCCCTCTTCCCTCTCCACAACATCTGTCCTGCAGCCTGACTGTGAAGGCATCTCTTGCTGCAGGATCTGCATGAGCATCAAGCAGCAGGCAGGAAGGAGGCTGTGAAGATCATAACTTGGGTGTTGCTGAGCTGGGAGATGTGAGAGAGAGGTGGCTGGGGACTGCAGTGAGAGCAGTTCTCCGGGCAGCCCCTGGGAAGGGAGCCCCAGGGAAGGAAGAAAGTGGATCCTGATGGCTGAAGCAGGGACTTGAAGATCTGCTCCCAGGTATGATGCTGACTCACCAAGCCAGCTTGACAAAGAGCCTTTTTGAACTTGGCAACTGGTCGCTGTGTGCCGTGGGTGGCTTCCTCTCCTGAAGCAAGCAATTCCTTATTTGATATATCTCCACTTGCCACAAGCCAGACACCCTTGCTCTTGAATGCCTAGTGGAAACGGGGCTGCTTTCCTTTCCCTCCCCCTGATTTTTGTGTTTGGGCTGGCAGGATCAGAGGGCAATACGAACGCTTGCTCTGGAATGGGTCAGGGGAAGGAAAACCGAAGACTAAACCACCCCAGAACAGGAATTGCCTCCAGGGAGTTCCCCTTCACTCTGCTCTCTCATCGGCTGAGAGAGATTCAACATCACCCTGCTCTGCTAGTCACTGAATATTTTATACCATGGCTACAAGTGCTCCATTTGTATTCTGTTTCTCTCTTTCGTCATATCTATTATAAACGAGTAGTGTCTGGGAACTCTCCCAGGGAAGATTTGCCTGGATAGCTACAGATATTTTATAGTCAAATTGTGAGAGCAAACCAGCTTTCAAGTTCTGTAGAGGGGGGAAAAAAAGTAATAAAAGGGTTATTAAAAAAATAAATAAATGTCGGGATTTTATACGGCTTCTTTTCATAGTGACAGTGCTTCAGTTTGCTCCACCAGGGAGCTGGAGCTGCTAGCAGAGGCTTGGGCTGGGAGGTGTCCTCTTGCTGGCACTGTCTGCCAACAGGAGCAATCTGATACACTCTCACTAAGTGCTATGGCTGTCTCAGCAGAGCTGGCATCTGGCTTAGCAGTGTCTACAGGCATCAGGGAAGCAAGACATGGCTCAGGGTTGTAGCACCCCATCTTTACCTTCATATTGTTCTGTCTCCTCACTTGACAGGAGAGGTCCTAGCAAGGAGCCCAATATCTGAGAGGGAATACTCTCCTCCAACCCAGGGCTGAAGGAGAAGAGCTGAAGAAACTTGCTTTGCCCTCAGGCAGGCTTCCACTTCCCCAGGGGACTCTGAGAGGACTTCAGCCACCAAGGGCATTGAGCCTGGCACCATCTCAACAAGCTAAAGCTTTCTGGCAGGGTTTCACAACCTGCACACAAGCAAAACCAGCCAGGGAGTAACCAACATGCACAAGAAATGTATATCAAGCCAGTAGACTGGCTGGTGAGACAGGTGTGTCCCAAATGCAGGTTTGCTCGTGCATGTACAGGGATGAGGACACCTATGTCACGATTGGTCCTGAAAGAAACTCCAGAGTAGGGAGCAGGTACAAGGTACTGGATTTCAGTTTGCAGACAGAAATATTATAGGTTTGCTAGACTAAGCCACATATGCCACAGGCCAAGAGAAAAAGAATGTTTTCTTATTTCTTACTTTTTCATCCTCTATCTAGTCAGCCTAATTTAAAAATAATTTACTCAGCTCAGTAGCACTCACCCTGCAAATCATCATATGGCATCATATGGCAGAAAAATTTATCAGCCCCTTTGTGCAAGAAGAGGAAAATGGGGAACAGGCAAGGGGCAGTAACTTTGAGTATGAAGGGAAAAATCAACAGATATAAAAGGCATCTGAAGCTGTAGAATCAAAAGCGGCATTCAGTGGCTTTCTTAGGTCTTGGGAGTCACTATTTTGCTCTGGGCAATTTGTGGGTGGAGTAAATGAATAGAGAGTTAAAATGTGAAAAGCCAAAAAACTGTAATGAATTTATTCACTGGCATGTCCAGTCCACCCCATCTCCAGACAGACCACCACGTGAGAGCTGGAGAACAGAGCCCTCTTCCAAAAGTAAGCAAAAGCTGATGGGCTTTTTCTTTCTCCATGAAATAAACATGTATCTATGACACATAGGTGTATTCCTAAAGGAAACAGAGCAAGAGAGGCCTCCTCCCTCTACATCTTCTACCTTGCCAGTCTCCCACCTGTCTGGCCCACCCTTTATTGCGGTCACAAAGAATGAGATCCCTCTCAAAGCCTCCAGGAGAAGACGTGCAGGAATTGGGCAGCAAGGCTGACTGACAACTGCAGGGAAGGAGGGAGGTTGCCAGCCAGCATTAACAGCTGTGCTACATCAGTTAGGCAAGACCAGCAGGTCCAGGAAAACCTGGTGTGAACCAACACTGACAGTGCTCTGCATGAACAACCTGCCATGGCCAGCATGAAGACAGCACAGAGCAGCCTGTCTGCAGGGGGAATGAAGGTGCATGCAAACACCTCCGACCTGTCAAAACTCTGAGTGCAGGCAGCAAATATGAGCCTTCAGAGCAAAGAAAGAGATGGAGACCTGTTCAGTCAACCACAGCCCAGTACCCATGCGGTCAGGGGTTCAGCCTCATCCCCAATGAGAGAAGGAGATCCCAGATTTTGCAGCTTAACCTCTCTGCCATGCTACACATGGCCAGAGACATGATGGCTGGACTCAGGAGCAGGTTCCTTCCCAGTGACATCAACTGTGCCAAAGCAGAGAGCTGTTAATTAACCTCGTTTATTGAAGGGCGGACACATTCCTGCCTGGGCCCCGATTTTTCAGTCAGGCTCCAGTCCAGCAGGTGATTAATAACCCGCCGTGCTGTGGGGAAGAGTGCATCTATTATTCAAATTAATGAAATTATAATCAAGAGGTGACAAATTAGCAATTGCTCCTTAACTGGATATGGAAACTCATTAGTGTGCCAGGCGCTTCTGGGGCACTCGCTGCACTCATGGGTTTATTGTTAGAGAGGAGGGAGTCAGGGGAGCAGACAGACACTTGGCACAGCTGAGGGAACATGCATCCTGCCCACCCAAAAATAACTGCAGCCACTGAAGAGTCCTCTGGCCCCACAAAGCCCCTCTACCTCCATCTCCTCTCCGACAGACAGACTCTTCATCTGGTGTCCTGCTGCCTGGAGCAATGTGGCTGTGGCTGTGAGCAGAGAAATGTGTGCACATGGGTACAGTGCTCTTTTTGGGGGTGTGTGGGAGAGACCCTTATGCCAGAGGAGGAGCAAGACAGAAGAGAAAGAGTGATGGCTGACCATACAACACTGGTCTGAGGATGTGCTGCAGCAGCCTCACAACCCTGACACAGCTGGGGTGTGGGTAAGGGACAAGTATCTGAAAGCATCTGCCCACCCTGGTGCTTTGAGCAGTGAAGTAGGACTAATGACTGGCTGGCTGCAGGCACGGCTGGTTGAACTGAGACTGGAGATCCTCCCTGACAGCCCACACCGGGCTGGGATTACCCTTCCCCAGATGGTACTCACCGATGTGCTTCCCATACATGTGGTAGTAGAAGGAGACACAGTAATACTTGGCAGTAATGTTGTAGAGGGGGCTGATGAGCCGGGCCTTGTCTCCTGTCACTCGGGGCCGGGATGCCTCGATGAACATGTAATAACCTGCAGAACGAGAGGGAAAGGTGGGGAAAGGCAGAGTGGGCCGTGTATCCCTCCCAGCAGGCGGTGGGATGGCAGAGGCTGGGAGACCACTCCTCTGAGAGACATGGCCTTGCTCTTCCCATCTGCTCTACACCCACTCTGATCCCAGCCAGAGACACTTGCAGGACGCCTCCTCTGCCTCCGCAGTACTTAGGGGAGAGCAGCAGCACCAGCAGACCTGCTGTGGGTGCCTGCAGCAGCCGAGTCCCTGGACATGCACACATTTACATCTGCCTGGGTGCAAAATGAGCCTTCGTTCTGCAAACGAGGAGACCCAGAGCTGACTGTGCTGTGTAAGGAGAAAATCAGAAAGAGAAGGAAGAGACAATTCCAGCTTAATTTCCCTGCTTCAAGCAGAGGGAGAGAGGATTTGGTATATCTGGCCTAAACCATATTGTTATCTAAAGAGAACAATAGCAAAGTAGTTGTTAACAACCCAGGGAGGAACAGATTAGCTACTGAATTTGTTGGCATCATTTTCAATGCTCAATCAGGCCGGTGCACTGAACACTAATGGGAAAAGCCATTTACTCAGCTGGCCATTGGAAGTTCCCCCTTTTTTTTTCTGAGTTCAAAGATTCGTGCTTGCATACAAATTTACTCTCTTCATTAGAGAAAGAGGAAAGTAATATCCAGCTGAAATGGGAGCATATACTCCATGCACAGCTGATGTGAGCAATACACACCATCAGTCTCCTCCAGCTAGAGGTGAGGCACTTGCTGCCACCCTGCAGGCAGCTCCCTCCCCTCATGCTCCTGCTTGGTACTAAGGAGATCTGTTTGCCTCCCTGAGACCTTCTCTGAGTAAACAGCTGGCTAAAAACAGCAAGTGCATTCCTAGGTGTTAGAGATGTTCTCCTCCTTGTTTATCATTTTTTTTACTTCAAAACAAGCATCAAATGGGACAAGGGCATTATGCAGCAGGCAATTAGCTGGTAACAAGAACTGATGCTCACACTATTCCCTTAAACAAAGCCGTGGGCGTTTTAATTGTGTATTTAATGCCAATCAGTAACATGCAAATTAACTGCCTGCTCTCTGCACTCGGTGGGGAGGAGAAGCGTGTGGTGCAGAAAGCAGATCAGCACTCCAGCAGCTCCCAGAACTCCTGACAAGCCAAAGGAAACCCAGAGGTGTGCCTACCCTCCGGCGTACCGCTGATGTCCGTGGGGGGCCCCGTGTTGACGGTGCGTTTGGGATTCTGAGTCAGGGCGTTCTGCCGGGTCCAGTCAAAGTTGTCCATCTTGTCTTGCACGAAGCCACAGATCTTCTCGTCCTCAAAGCGGCAGGTGTTATCTGCGGGGAGGGAAAGGGCTGGTCAGCTGCAGCTTTTCAGATCTCCTCCCCAAGGCTTCCCGGGTGCTCGCGGCCAGTTGCTGTGCCACCACTGTGGCTCTGCATCAAGCTGAGGACAGAGAGGCAGCCCCTGACCTCAGGAGGAGGCTGACAAGGAATATATCTGTGATTAGCATGATTATGGAAGGGTTCATCCGGGTTGATGGATGTGATGGTCTGATGAAATGGAAGAAGGCTATTAGGGCTAAAGAGAAAGAAAGATTCTGCTGGGAGGTCTGAGCGGACAAATGTAGAGGAGGGTAAAAAAGAGCACTGAGGGTAAACAGGCCACAGGGGCTTTTAAACCAGAACAACTTGATGGTAGAATAATTTCCCCAGGAGAAAGGAAAAAGCACCAGTAGATGACCCCACTTGGGGATATATATTAAAGTAAACTAGGACACACATGAAAAAAATCAGATGTGGACAAGAGGTCAGCTCAGTACTACAAATGTGTCATTTTGCTAGAGTACATCCAATTTATACCAGCTAAAAGGTCCATTTGATATTGCAGCTTATGCCCTTTCCCCTAACAAAATAAGTTGTGTAGGTAAAAGATTTTTATGTAGGATCAACCGTATGTGCAATAGGGCTTGGTTTTATTACTACCACAGAACAGTCACACCCTACAGCAATATTGTAAGACAGGTGAAAAATCTTGTACAGACATAACCCAATATGGACTTGCAGAGATTGGAATTAATTGAACTTGACCCAGCTGAGGACAGGAACCTTTGTGGTAAAAAGGTAGCTCCTGAGCCACAAAAACAAAGGCTAAGAACCAGCTTTGCGCTGCTGACACAGTAGGAGAGGGATGGAAGAAAAAGGCAGAAAAGAAAGACAAAACAGATCCAAGACCAAATTTGGAAATTGTTTTGTGTTCTGAAAGGTCCCTGGGCAGAAACCAAAGCTGAAGAATGGGCTGAGAGTGGGATCTCAGACCTCACCAGCAGTGCAGACACAGTAAGCACGGATCTCCTTCACTTTTGTCTTTATGCAAGAGCAAGGAGGTGTGCTGTGAAATGGAAAGATAAACTATTTAAAACCAACAAAGGAAGACATACAGAAAGGAAAATAAGGCTCTTTCTAAGGGCTTTGTATGTGCTAGAAACCTAATCCATGGCATTCTGGTGCAAGAGGCTCAAGTTTTTGGGTTTTATTTCCCACACTGTTCCTGTTATCATGCCCAAACAAAAAGAAGCCCAAATGCTTACTTGGGCTCATGCATTTCTGTATCTTCAGCGGTGGTTTGCTCTGCTACCTGGGCAGCAGGCTTTCTGTACTAGCATGGATGACTCTGGCAGGACACTTAGGGAAGGGCATGGTCAGCAACATATGGGCTGGGTGCCAAGGAAAGCTTTCTGCAACGCCAGAGCCGAAAGTTCCAGACATGGTACATTGTGAAGGTAGGAGCTTCATTCATCTACCAAAATCTGCCATCTTTACCAGAGAGAAGAAGCTACCTGTGAAATGAACAGCATCTTGACTCTGAGCTGCTGCTCCTCCTGGTTCCTACCCTGCAGCTAAGGCCCTCCCCATGCCCTCCCATTTAGAAATGAAAACAACCACCATCCAAACAAACATCAAAAGCCTGCAGACACCTGCAGGAAAATGGGGTCTCCATGCTGTTGTTGCCCCTCTTTCCTGTCTCTCTTTAGCATCCCACCAAAGCAGTGAGAAAAGAGTAGGCAACCGCCTGCTGAAGCACACAAAAAGGTCTTCACCACTGCAGGCTGGGCACTGTGCTGCAAAGCCATCAGGTTGGTTCACAGAGCAGGGCAGCTGGGTCTTCTGTAAGCTCAGTGGGAAACACTGCTGCTGCAAGCTGAACGAAACCACTGGGAGCTCAGCTGGGCTGGCTGCTTAACTGCTGATTAACCCTGGCTAAGTGCTTTCAGTTCAAGCTGCTCGTTTCTAATTAGCATCCTAATCCAAATTAGCCACTGCTCTGAAGTGCCAACCAGAGGAGGCCACATGGCAGCTGGAGCTGAAGGAGAAGGGAGGAGCAGGGAGCAGATGATGAGGCAGACGCCCATGGGGTCTGAGGCAGCGCAACTGTGTGGGCTGGGAAGCCCTTTTGTCCTCAGGACAAGGAGATGGAGGGGGAAGAGGGTGAGAAAGCAGCTGTTAAGGGTTCTTCCCCAGCCCCTGTGGCTGAGAGGAGGGAGTTTGTGGCTACATCAAACACTGAACCATCACTGATCCTCAGAGGAGGGGCTGGTGGCCAGAAGTTTTTTGATATGGCTGGGTTGGTCTAACACCCCAGCTTCTCTCCATCGGACAGAAGACAAACATTTGCATGGCTCTAGCTCACCAGTTGCCAGATGCAGTTAGAAGACACAAGTTTTCTCTTACAATGGCATTATCCTACACAGCAGGATCCGCCATCACTGTCCTTTTGCAATGGTTTGCACCTCTGACCCTGCTGAGCAAACAAGATTTTCAGAGGAGAAAGATGTCACAAAATTCCCTTAGGAGGGAATATCAGATGCTGAAAGCTTTAACAGCCAGGCCAGCCAGGCAACTGAGTGAGAAGGACTAAACTCACAAAGGATGAGGCCCAGAAACCAAAGGAGAGGCCCAAGCTCAGACTGAGATCAGAGAGAGCTGTGCGAGACAAGAGGACCAAGGACAGAATTCTCAGCTTAGCACCAAGGCCTGGTCATGCCAACAGATGGACTACTGTGCTTCCTTTGTAAAAAGCCACACACATCCATGGGATAAGACTGCTCAGAGAAGATTTGAGAGCTTGAAGAGAGCTTTTTTAGAGCCAAAACAGGTCCCTGACTCCATTCTCTCCTCTCACTCAGATGCAGCTACTTCCAGAAGGCAGTATTTCCAGCAGGGAACATAAAACAGAGAAGGGTCCTATGCACCACAGAGACCACAACATGGTCAGGCTTATGTGGAAGCAAGTTTGCTGTGCAGAAGTGTATAACTACATCACATTGCCTCTGCTTAGCTCAGGATCTCAAGACACTTTGCAATAACAACTGAATAAAGCTTTTTAACATCTCTATGAGGTAGCAATGCCTCTTTCTATATATCTCCTGCACTACATGTGGGGAAGCAGATGCATAGAAGTATAGAGAGGCATGTGCCAAAGCTGGAAACACAACCCAAGTGCTCTGACTCTGGGTCCTTTGGTTTAAAAGAAGCCACAGGAAGGCAAAGTTCTGGTGTTTCTCTGAGCTAGAAGTGGAGGCGCCCAGAATAACTAAGAGATGTTTGGAGCAGTTTGGGACACTCTGGATAATTATCAGCAAGGCTCACTAGAAGAAACCTGGCAGATCCAGCCCAAAAGAAAATCTTTTAAATGACCTGCTGTGTCTCAGAGGCCACAGCAGTGATCTAACTGTTGACCTCAGCTATGTGAAGCAAACCTTTCCGCAGACTCACACCATCTGAGTGGCTCAGCACTGCAGCACAAAGGAAGCTTCCTGTTTAAAAATTAAACAGTGGATTTAAATATTGAACACAGAAGTTGTGCTCTGGATTGTTAGAGGCGAGGTGAAGGTGGCAGGGGAGCTGGTTCCTCAAAGGCTGGAGTTAGCACTGTCTTCACCAAACAGATTTCCTTGGCAGACTTTGCAGTGGTGGCAGCTCAAAGTGCAGAGATGTTTGCTCCTGGTTACAGATACCTCCCTTCATTACCAAGGGAGAGACCTCTGCTGTGGCTATTAGCATTTCTTGTTGCTTTGCCTTCTTGAGAAACAGAATGGAGGTTTTCATTTCAAGTCCTTAGGGGAAAGCCATCCCTGCTCCTGAAATCCTGGCTGCCAGATGAATGCAAAAAATAACTTGGTTCTAGCTGCAGACTGTGAGTGAATAGCAGACAGAGCACACTTGAATGAAATTGCCTTTGTCATTTAGCTGTGGTCTCATGACTGAAACTGTCTTGGAGCAAAAGGGATCATGCCCCGAGCCTCAGGTCTGTTGCAAACCTGCTGCATGAGCCACAAAGGATCTCCTTTCCTCTGGAGATCAGTTTCCCCATCTAGGAGATGAAGATTATGAAAACTGTATTGTGACCTCAAAGTGCATTGAGATCTAAGAAACAGCATAGAATCCTAGGATCATAGAATGGTTAAGGCTGGAAGGGACTTTAAAGGTCATCAGGTTCCAACCTCATGATCCCTGCTTATGGCAGGGACACTTCACACTAGATCACTCATCCAACCTGGCCTTGAAGACCTCCAGGGAGGGGGCTTCCACAAGCTCCCTGGGCAACTTATTTCAGCACCTTACTACCCTCATGGTGAAGAATTTCTTCCTGATGTCTAACCTAAATCTCCCCTCTTTCAGTTAAAAACATTACCCCTTGTCCTATCACTACACACTCTGGTGAAAAGTCCCTCCCTACTTTTCCTGTAACCCCTTCAGGTACTGGAAGGTGCTATAAGGTCCTTCTAGAGCTTTCTCTTCTCCCAGCTGAATAGCCCAAACTCTCTCAGCCTGTCCTCATAGCTCCAGCCCACTGATCATCTTTGTGGCTCTTCTCTAGACCCTCTCCAACAGCTCCATGTCTTTCCTGTGATGAGGGCTCCAGAGCTGTACACAGTACTCCAGGTGTGGGGAGAATGGAGAGAGGACTTTGGGGTGGTAGTAGACGAGAATGCTGTTGGCCCTCTGGGCTGTGAGCACACACTGGTGGCTCATGTAGAGTTTCTCATCTACTACCACCCCAAAGTCCTCTCTCCATTCTCCCCAGAGCCTGTATTTGTGCCTGGGGTTGCACTGACCCAGGTGCAGGACTTTGAACTTGGCCTTGTTGAACTTCATGAGGTTGGCACTGGCCCAGCTCTCCAGCCTGTCAAGGTCCCTCCGGATGGTGTCCCTTCCCTCTAGGTGTCAACTCTTTCACACAGCTTGGTATCATCAGTAAACTTGCTGAGGAAACACTCAATCCCACTGTCCATGTCTCCAGCAAAGATGTTGAACAGCACTGGTCTCAGTGACTCCTGAGGAACACCACTTGTCACTTGCCTCCACTTGGACATTGAACCACTGATCACAACTCTCTGGTGAGGCCATCCAGCCAATTACTTATCCACTGAGTGGTCCATCTGTCAAATCCATGTCTTGTCAGTTTGGAGACCAGGATGTCACATGGGACAGTGCCAAACACCTTGCACAAATCCAGGTAGATGACATCAGTTGCTCTGCTACCATCCACCATCTCTGTAGCCTTGTTGTAGAAGGCCACCAGATTGGTCAGGCATGACTTGCCCTTAGTGAAGTCATGTTGGCTGTCACCAATCACCTCTTTATTTTCCATGTGCCTTAGCAGATTTTCTAGGAGTATCTGCTCCATGATCTTGCCGGGCACAGAGATGAGTCTGACCAGCCTGTAGTTCCCCAGATCTTCCTTTTTCCTCTTTTTAAAAATAGGGGCTATGTTCCCTTTTTTTCAATCAGCAGGAGCCAGACCACCATGACCTCTCTAATATGATGGTCAGAGGTTTAGCAACTGCATCAGCCAGCTCCCTCAGGACCCGTGGATGGACCCCATCAGGTCCCATAGGCTTGTCCCCCTTCAGATTCCTTAGATGGTCACGAAACTGTTCTCCTACAGTGGGGGATCGCACCATCCAGCTCATTATCTGCCTCCCTGATACTCCACAACCTCCTCACTGTGCCCTGCAGCTCAGCTATCTGCTGTAGGAGGTCATTCACCTGCTCACAGTTTTTGTAACCTTTTCCATGGTAAGTTTCTAAAACATTTATAACCAGTCATGGAAGAAAGCTCCACAATGCCATAGCTGGTTGGGTCATACTGGATTGCCATCTGCTTTAATATCTCCATCTGGGGTGAAGGGATAACATGGCCCAGATAATCTCATCTGCTATCATGATACAAGGAATTGGTGGCAGTCACCTTTTTTGACCTTTGTTACACACATTCCTGAGGAATGGGCACACAATTGAGAAATACAACCTTGAACATCAGGTCTGCATCTCATTCCCACATGTTCATACTGGGGCAACAAGCTCAGATTCCTCTTGACTATGAGGTGTTATCAGAGACAGGACACACCAGGACTAGTCAGTAAGCAACAAGCCAGCATGATCTACAACAACCAGCATCTGGTATTGATCACCACCCACTGTCCTTGTCTGTGATCGCAACAAATTTTATCACCACACACAGCCAGACTGCAGATACATGAGTATTGGCTGCTCTGGAAGGGCAAGACACACTGGCCAACAGAAAAATGAACCACCAAAACAAACAAACCAGCAATCTCATATGTTTTTAATGACTTCATCACCAAGGTTGCAAGGCTACAGCTGCTAGAACCATGGAAACCAAACTGTTCACTGCTGATGAGCTGGAATAGCTTGCAAGGCAGTCCTGCAGGGTTTGGGTTACACAGTGAAGGCTACATCCAAATTAAATTGCAAGGGAGAAGTAAGAAGGACAGAACAGATTCCCCAGTGCTGGAATTTAGTCATGACATTAAAATTATCAGTTATTCTTAGATATCTTGAAGGTAATACCTTTGAGATAAGATAATTCTAAGACAGCTTTTTACAGAAAAATTCTGGTTTTTAGAACCAGATTAAATTCTTTTTAAGACTTAGGGTTAGTCTTCCTGCTAGCCTCTAAATATTTGAAATCTTCAATGTCCTTTGTTCACTTCCTCTGCTTTTACTTTGCCTTTGCTTTATAACCCCAGTAACTGGATCTGTAACCATGCCACATGCATGCCTGCCCCAATGTCATTAACATCTTATTAGTCTGAAAGAGAAAATGCATGAAGAAATAATTGTATTAAGTAACTCTCAGGAGTTTGCAAATTAATCACCATTGTGCATGGCCTTGGATCAGGCTGCCAGAGGCATTAATCATCTGATCTCTGCCTTTCACTTGAGAGATCTCAATGTTTGCTCCCAGAATTTGGCTGGGCAGCCTAGCGTGGGGATACCTTTACAAACCCTTTTCCCTGAAGGTGGTGGTAGCAGGGAAAGTGGGAAAATAATTGGTAGTATAAGGGATTTCTGTGTTACTGGGATGAGAGTCTGGGAACTGAGCTGTGGTCCAGAGACAGAGCTAAGAGCCTTTGGGCTCGTATTTCACCGGCAGCAGGTCTGAGAGCAAGGGGCATCTCTGAAATCAGTGTGCTGGGTGCAACTTCAGGCAGCCAGTCTCAAGGCATGAACTCAGGAGAAAGACCCTGATGACTGGCCCAGATGTCCCAATATCCAGCACAGGCTGGGTAATTTGAGAGTTAAGGAGAAAATCTCGAGTTACCCAGCCTGTGCTGGACATCAGCTTTACTGTGTGCAAATACAAGAGTGGCTGAATTATCCAGCACCACAGGCAAACTTCATGCAGTTGTTCTGGTCTCAATCAAACTGCCAAAGCAACCTCAGGCGAGCAGTCTGAAGGCTCAGTTTACAAAGACCCAAAAGGACTGATACAATTAGGAACAAAGATGGTCTGGCTTTGCCAGTGATTTATATAGTGTGAAACCAAGCAGCAGAAGGCTAGATGTTGTCACTTCATCCTGTAGCTTGGGATGCTAGCCTCCTCCAGCAAGTACCAAGGGACACATTCTGGAGTGGGTCCCTGGCAATATGCTCAGTGTTTCCCGGCCAGTCTCTCTCTCCAACCATCCTCAGACTGAGTTTACAAGAGTGAATGCCTTGTGGCTACCTTAACAAGATAATCCCACATCCTGATTCATGGCTACTGTTGCCTAATCCTGGTTTCTCCTTCCCACTGCTACCCTGCAGTGCAACAGTAGCACTTGTCTAGACATACAATGTGTAATAGATAAAAAAACTGAACGCTGACTCAGCAGCTAGAAACAGGGAGAAAGAAAACTACATGAAACTACCTACTCCCCATGGACCACCAGCAAGTAGTCTGCCCATTTCTGCCAAAGAGCTTTGCCTGGATTTATATCCAACAACTGAAGCAAAAAAACTTTTTTTTCATCCCCTGAAGATCACTCCACCACTACTTACAGCACACTAGAAATCCTCTTTTATGCTTGATGGGTACCATAATGCTCTTGTTAAAGACCATTGTTCTGAGATGTTGTGTATTCTGCTCTCAAAATCAATGGAAACTCTGGGTGTTCGATAAAGATGGGCCTGTACCTTGGCAGGAATGACCAAAAGGTAAATAAGCAAGTAAACCGTGGTGGCACTGAAGGAATAAAAGAAAGGAACTGATCAAAGAGTTTGCAAGAAAAGCCAGATCTGATCTGGAAACTGCTCCATACCAGCTTGCAGAGACATCAAGTGGTATCTTTGCTGGTCTGAAGGGAACAGGGGATATACATTCCTTAATGACAAATATTTTGGGGAACATTTAATAACCTGCTTACTGGATGCAGACCGCTCATGTTAGGGGGAGGGTGGGTTCCAGATCTCAGCCTATCCAGTCACAGAGACACCAAGCATGAAGAGGAGGCATGTCTCTGGCATATATCTTCTGGCAATAACTTGAGGTACAACAAATCATATTACTTACTGGAAGCACTAGTGTATGCAATTTCATCCTCTACTGGGGAAAAAGATTTAGTTAAGTCAGTTGTGTATTCCAGCTGTTTGGCTTGTCTGATCTGCTGTGGCACTTGTTAACATGCATAACATTCAAAGCATAAATAAAAAGGACTTGTTGCTTACCTGTTGGGTTGGGATAGCTGATTGCTGGAAGAGGAAATAGAAAAACATGTCAGAACAGCTAGCGCTCCCTGAAATAGCAAATCACAATCAAAGTCTGAAAATAAAACAAACACATCAAGAAAGGTCACTGAGGCACAAATCTTCCTGCAGCATCCCTGTGAAACAGCAGCACTCGCTGTCTGCCTTGGTGATTGAACAAGATGCTGACTGTCTGATCCCAGCAGCAATCGAGCTTAAGGAAACCCCATCTAAGGAGAGATCCCAGGATCACACAGAGGAACCCTTTCAGCAACCCAGGCTGCTTTTTTAGAGCACCCATTGGACCTAAAGCTTGGGTATCTAAGAGGGACATCGGAATAAGACACTGGAAATCTGAGACAACAGGTATCCTGGGGTATACACCAGTGACAGTTGTCGCTCTGTGGGACAAGAGTGTTG